AATATTAGATACCTGCTGACAAGAAATACAAATCAACTACCTCTCTTATTATTGGCAGGAAGTTATGGTACTTTTTCTCTTACCAGCAGACCAGATCAGGAGAGGCCCCCTTCCTCTGTGCTTTCAGAGAACACACACACAGAGAGAGAACAGATCAGCTATGGATTTTTGTCAAATATTTACTCCTAACCCTGATTAATATATATATATATATATTGCCCTTCTGAATGTAAGGATGCTTCCATATTGTTAAGGCCTCTCTTCCTATCCTCTTATAAATGCCGCTGAAATGTGTTTAAGAAAAACAGCATGGCCCATTGTGACCTGTCAACCTCAGGCAGGGAGGAAAACAATGCATCCCATCACGTTCTCTCAGTCCGCTGGACCTCTTTCATAAATCACCCAAGTGCCAAGTCAGGGCTTTTAAGGACATGGAGGACATTGTGGGTCATACCTGTGATCTGTGTGAAACTTTGACCTGTGTAAAACTAGCACTTCTTTGGGGTGGGGAGCAGCATGCTGGCAGCATGTTCTACCTTTGACGTATACATATTGGTTTGAATGTCTGAAGAGAGAGCCTACATGCGCATGGGAGACACCGCCTGTCTTTACATACTGTCATAAGAAGAATTCTACTGGTTCAGATCAAAGGCACTAATTGCCTCCTGTATAGACTACTACAGTCGCACTCCCTGTGGGGGCAGCCTTGAAGACAGCCTGGAATCTGCAGCTGGTGCAGAATGCCGCTTCTCAGTTATTCACAGATGGCGAGGGGTGGGGATCATATTACCCTGATCTTCAATCTCCACACTGGCTGCCAGTGAGCTGAGAGGTCCAATTCAAGGTGCTAATTTTTGTGTAAAGTGCCCTGAACAACTTGGGATTCAAAGACATTAAGGAGAGCATTCTCGGGTATTGCCCCAACTGACTGTTAAGATCAGCCAGGAATGCCCTGTTTGTCCCAACAGTAGTTACTGCTAGTTGGCTGGTGAAGCAGAGCGGGGCATTCTTGGTGGTGTCCCCCAGATTATGGAGCTCCCTCCTGAATAAAGTTTGGTTGGCCTCCATACTGGCCACATTCAAGCAATGTGGGAACCTTTCTTTTTATCCCGGCCTTCGTGTCACAACTGATAATTTTGCTGTGTTGTTCATGCAGTCAGTTCTCAAACTGTTATTGCCATATATTCCATTAAGGATCAGTACAAAAAAGTCACTCAGCAAAATCTGCATCTAACACTCAAGTTAATGTTGTGTAACATTCACAAATCCTCAGTGCATGTTGCAGAAACTTGGCTGTTACAGTGGTGCCCCGCAAGACGAATGCCTCGCAAGACGGAAAACTCGCTAGACGAAAGGGTTTTCCGTTTTTTGAGCTGCTTCGCAAGACGAATTTCCCTATGGGCTTGCTTCGCAAGACGAAAAACGAAAACGTCTTGCAAGTTTGTTTCCTTTTCTTAACACCGTTAATACAGTTGCGACTTGACTTCGAGGAGCAACTCATAGAACGCGGTGTGGTAGCCTTTTTGAGGTTTTTGAAGACTTTGGTGATTTTTGAAGCTTTTCCAAAACTTCTTTTAAACTTTTAAAACTTTTTTGGGGGGTTTTGGATTTTGGGTTGGGGTGTTTGGAATTCAAGGACTTGGTGTTGGGGAGGGGTTTGCAAGAATCTGGAAGCTTGTGTGTGTTTTTTCTGCATTTTTATGATTTTCTGTGACCATTGGGCCACTCTGCTGTTTTTTAATAATAATTCTGGATTTGAATTTCTGTGTGGTGGGTGGCTGGGGGAACAGTTGAGGAGGGGTTTGCATGAATCTGGAAGCTTGTGTGGTTTTTTTCTGCATTTTTATGATTTTCTGTAACCATTGGGCCACTCTGCTGTTTTTTTTTTTTAAATCTGGATTTGAATTTCTGTGTGGTGGGTGGCTGGGGGAACAGTTGAGGAGGGGGTTCTTCAGCAAGAAGCAAAGAGTGGAAGAGGAACCTTCGAGTTGTCCCCCAGAGTCTTAGAAAATGTACTGTACACTTTGTTGATGTTTAAATGTTTTTCTGTCATGTTTAGAAACTTAATTTATTGTTCCTTCAATTTTTGAAATGCTCTTTACAGTATGTGTGACTTTAAAGAGCACTTAATAAACTCTTGTTGTACCAAATTTGGCTTTGTTTGGACTTTCTTTGACCATAGGAACACATTAATTGGATTTCAATGCATTCCTATGGGATTTCGTGCTTCGCAAGACGAAAAATTCGCTAGACGAGAAAACTCGCAGAACGAATTAATTTCGTCTTGCGAGGCACCACTGTATTTCCCAAACCTTCCCCCAAACCATTGCTATTTTTCTAAAAAAAAAGAGGTGGCGGAACTGACCAGTGAACTTGCCTCCCTTGTTCTCTTAGAATGGCAATGGCACCCACCTGAGAGGGGCCAGAGCTGAGTTCTGGTAGGGCTGCCATATGTCCTGATTTTGCCTGACATTACTGGGATTTCAGAGGTGGAATTGATGTCTGGGAGGAATTTCCGAAAGGTGGCGCTTTGTCCTGAATTTTAGGCAAGTCAATCAAAAACTAGTTCTGGTGAGCCCTGCCCTAGTTCTGGTGAGCCCTGCCTCAAACTATCAGGACTGAGTAGGCCACAAAGCTGTCATAATGACAGCATATGATGATAATGCTACAAGATTATTAAAAATTAGCTTTAACAGTTCCTCTTGGTGGGATTATCAAAATTCTGTCACACGTGTTATAGAAGGGGACATAGCAGTCTTGCAGGGTAATCCTATACATGTCTCCTTGGAAGTAAATTCCACTGAGATCAATGGGATTTACTCCCTAACTTAAGTGGGTTTAGGATTGCAGCCTAAGGGAAGTAGTCATTTTCACAACTGTGTATTTCAACGGCCTGTGTGTACGCACATGGGAACAGTGAGTGAGCATGCCAACTTCTTTGCTGAGCAAGATGGCCCCAGGGAACGCTCGTCTAGGCCATGTTGTAATTGCACAGAGATGGTAATTGGTTCCATACTGTGGGCAGAGTCTGCTGCTGCTCCTTGAAGCAATAACACTCTGTGTGCTACTTTGGGGACCTCCTCCTTCCCACAATCCACCAGCCATGACTCATTCTCTATGGTGCCAGGAAAGAAAGCTTGCAGGCTTCAATGTATAGCTTCTACCATTTCTGTTTCACTCTCCTGAACAACGCAATCCTTTATAGGAAGGGCTGGATTTTACACCTCTTGTTTGAACTGGAACTCTTGGAAGGGCCCCTCACCCAATTTACAGCCAAGCCCTAATGAGGGAGTTCAGAATAATTTTACCACCTTCCCCGCCTCTAAAGTATCTCTGTGTGACCATGTAAGGCATGCAGTTTTATTCTCCCTCATTTGCTGTGGTGCAGCTACACTTTTAAACCATGTTTTATCTGCTATTGCTCCAATACAAACTTTTGTATTTATTAAAAGGGGCCATATTTCAGGAATGAAGAACCCTATCAATTTAGAGTCTACAGTGAAGGATGCTGGCATAGTGGAACCTCACACTTTGCTAATGAGAGAGGAGAATAATATGGCTGAAGAGACTGAAGCAGAATGAGTGATCGAGCTGTGATAGAAAGGTTCAGACAATCCCTGAGGCACCCTGGACCTAAGCTGTTCAGGGCTTTCGAAATTAATTCAAGGACCTTGAACCTGTCTTGGTAGTAGATGGGCAGTTAGCGCAGATGTTTTAACAGCGCCAGCCCTACTGAAGCAGATGCCGGGGTGGTAGCAGGCCCCTCACTGTTCCCTAAGTTAGCTTGCAAGCACAGAAGAACGATTATGGTAATTATAATAATAATTTATTATTTATACCCCTCCCATCTGGCTGGGTTTCCAACCAACTTTTAAAATATTAAAATATTAAAAACACAATACAGCATTAAACATTAAAAACTTCCCTAAACAGGGCTGCCTTCAGATGTCTTTTAAAAGTAAGATAGTTGCTTATTGCCTTGACATCTGATGGGAGGGCATTCCACAGGGCAGGCGCCACTACCGAGAAGGCACTGGTACCAGTCCAGTGGGATTCTGTTGGTAGAATGTGGGATGGCATTATCTTGATCTTTGCCTTAGGCGGCAGTTCTGTGGGGCTGGCTGACTCTGCCACTTTGTACAAGTTGATAACAATGAAAATTATATTATGAGATGATTTTCTTTGTGCCCCTTAATTAAAGATGTATTGAAGCTTTGGGGCATAGTTGCTCCCCACTTCCTTCCCAGGACATTTGGCTGCATGAGTTCCATTGCCTGGCCAATGCAAGACCTTTTCCTGCCCAAGGTGAAGGACAAGATGTAACCTCCCCAGAAGCTGGATGGACTGAGTCTTCTGCCGTACGGGAGAGCAGTAGGTTAGCTTAGGAGGTGTTGGGTGGGCTCATTGCATGGCAACCACACTTGACCACTCCTTGCTCACTGCTCTGCCTGGTATCGGTCCCACAACAAAAATGCTGCAGTAGAGTAGCAATGGTGCTGGGATCAAGCAGAGCAATGCATGCACAAAGTGGGCTGGGCTGATTGCCTCTTCATGACGTCAAGGAGCTTTAAGAACATAAAAAGAACCTCTTGGATCAGGCCAGTGGCCCACCTGGTCCAGCATCCTGTTCTGCAGTGGCCAGCCAGATTCCTGTGAGAAGCCTACAAGCAGGATCCCACGGCAACAGGGCTCTTCCTTCCTGTGCTTTCCAGCAACTGCTATTCCTAAGCGTTTGCTGCCTCTGAGCATGGAGGCAGAGCATCCCCATCATGACTAGCAGCCCTTGATAGCCTTCTCCTCCATGAACCTTTTCAGTCCTCTTTTAAAGCCATCTAAGTTGGTGGCCATCACTGCCTCCCAGCTTTCTCAAGGGCACTGACTTGGCACACATTGGAAGCTGCCTTATCATGTGTCAGATCATTGGCTTGTCTAGCTTAGTATCTTTGACACTGACTGGCAGCAGCTCTGCAGGGTTTCAGGCTGTAGTCTTCCCTACCTGCAGGTGTTACGGACTGAACCAGGGACCTTCTGCATGCAAAGCAGATACTCTACCATTGAGCTACAGCCCTTCCCTAACACTTTGATCCCTTCCCTTAGCTCAGCAAATATATGGTCAATGACATCATCCTGAGAAAGGATTCCTAGCCCTAATACTGGGATTCCCAGCCCTTGCTGCAGATAACAGGCTCAAGGGAGGGCCAGAAGCATTGCCATTACCCAGAAAGCACCATTCTGCTTTGGAGCCCTGACAAAAGGCTGAAACCAGACACGACTAAACTAGATGTTAAAACACATGCACACACTTTTGAGGTATAATATTTTATTGATTTTAAAGTGTGTTTTTTAAACAATTTAAAAAGGAAAAACAATAACAGCAGTGCAACCTTACATTGCACATCACGGGTAAGTACAGTTACAATATGGAGTTGCATCTGAAAAAGTGCTGCATTCTCAAACACAAACTTTCCCCATTTTATTTGATTTCTTTATACAGTAGTTGTATTCAAACCAGGATCTGTATCTGTATGTCTCTCTCTCTCTCTTGCACAGAGTTTAAACGGTGGAACAGTGTGTTGTGTCGGGTGGTGGGGTGCAGAGAGGTGCAGGCTAATGCCATGCCCTCTGGCTGTTCCCCCTGCCCAAACCAAAATTACTACCTTCCTTTTGGGGGGGGGGGAATGCTATAGTTGTCTGCATCTTCCTCCCCGCAGAGAGAAAAGCAACCTGCATATCACAGAGTTCCTTGTGAAGTGGGATTGACTGTTAAGCCTGTCTGGGAACTGTAGCTCCAAGACGGGAATGGTTTCCTAACAACTCTTGATAAACTGTAACTCCCAGAATTCTTTGGGGAAAGTCAAGCCTTCTTGAGGTAGTATCACAATGCTTAAAATGGTGTGAATGGGGCGTACGTCCGCTCCGAGTACATCTGCTGAAATTCATGGACCTAAGTTAATTATGTCCATTAATTTCAAGGAGTTCACTCTGAGTAGAGCTAACATTGGATAGAACCTCTAGTTTTCTGTGTGTTTTTTTATTGATGGTTGGGGATTTTTTGACATGAGAGAGAATTGATATAACAGGGTCTTTCCTTCCACGATACCATTGTGCATTGTGTGGCCATATGTCCTGCTTTGTGGATGGCGGGGCAGGTAGCTCCGCCCCTGCCCATCAACAGCACTGGATAGCAAACTGAGCTGGCACAGAACTCAGTTGGTTACAGCCTTTGTCATTATGGTGAGATGTATTTCTATTTAAATCATAGAAATTGTTTCTAAATTTATATCTATACATATAAATCAACATATGCAAATCTTATGCAAAGAAGCATCTCTCCCGGCCAGCCTTCAGCCAGCCTGCCCAAGATGGACCTCAGTCTTTCTTCTCCCTTTCTTCTTCCCAGCACACCTTGCTAAAGACTCTCTTTTCCTGTCACCTCACACCCAGTTACCCTGGCAACCTTCCAAACCCCCAGTCCCTGTTCATACCTCAGGGCAGGAGGGGTGGGCAAGGACTGTTTTCTTGCATTGCCAATGGCCTCAAGGACCCTGTATTGTTTCTGAATGACTCTAGCTTGGCCTAGCTGTTCTGCATAGGTTAGCTCAGGAATTCTTCTACTTCTCCATTCACATCCCGAATAATCAAAATCCTACCATTTCTTAATTTCTAGGATTTAGGGGGTTCTCCCCAAATGAATTGTGAATACTGTGGGACACTGTAGGATGGAAAGGTTGCATTGGAGGAATGAGGGGTGAGCGATGTTATTTTCTGAGGCCCAGGGCAAAATATGCCTTTTAAAGTTTTGCCCAGATTTGAATAAATGATGTCAGTTGAACCCGCAGACACTCATCCTTCAGAATGGGAAGCAGCAGACATGTTTGCGGATGGCCTAGTGCGTTGGCTTTGTTGCACGTTTAAGTCTTCACATCTGCAGAGAAGACACAGTAAAGTAATCCATGATGGATGCTTCCCGTGGGCCTGTAAATTCTTGGCTCGGATGGGGCCATCTCTGAAGCAAAAACCGATGTTGTCTTGGCCTTCCAGATCATGCCTTCCACAAATGTTCATTTTGGGAGCAATCAATACTAATCTTCTGACTTACGCAAAAATGTCACCATCCCAGTTACTTACTGTTGCAGCCAAAGTCAAGAATGATCTCGTTAGTTGCAATTTACCTTGAGTAAACTAATTTGAATTGGTTGCCTGGCAGATGTTTTGACAATCTGCATGCTTATCTCAAGAAGTAATCCAGCTGTTCTGCTTTTCTTCCAGCTGTAAATTATTACTTCCACTGTACCAGCTGCTTTATGGCTCTCTTTCTCATGGCGATAGATCCCCTTCACTTTCTGACTCCACCTGCTAGTTTTGTTATTCCTGTTTCATTTTGTAGGGAAGGGATTATCTGTTTTTTAAGCTTCCATTTTAATTGTTTCCAGTTACAGAAGGATGACATAAACCAGTTTTGTTGATCTCACTTTTGCATGAACTACTGTTGAAAACTCAGATAAGGCAGCGGGAAAACTAAAACCAAAAGGAGCTGGGTGGTTGAGAAAGTTTTAAGTTCCAACAGGAGACATCGTAATTCCTCAGTGTTCAGAAACCAGGCAGCTGCTGGGAGCGATGGATGTTGGGAGGGGCTCTCCATGCTGAGGTCTGGGTATGAACCAGGATGCCATCCACTCTCCTGCTGTGTAGAATACCACCAGGGAATATGTGTTAGTGGAGAAGCAACAGAGCTTGGTGGTAGGGCACAGGAGTTGCATGCAGAACGCCTGAGAGATTCAGGACAGAAAAAGGATGTACTTCTTCACAGAGCTCATTGCTAACATGCTGAGTTCGCTGCCACAAGTCATAGTGTTGGCAGATGATGGCAGTGGGTCACAAGTGAGTTGCAGGCCTAGAGCGATGCCTCTTGGCCCATATGTGTGTGGGAAGCTGTTCTGGACCCACATGGCTGATAGCTTTCTTTCTTTCTTTCTTTCTTTCTTTCTTTCTTTCTTTCTTTCGTGGGGGAACTCCTGATATCAAGGCAGTTTTGCACAGGTGAATTCAGGAAAGATGGTGTTCCTATTGGCTGCAAAGGCAGCACTTTTCACAGGGTCATAAAGGACTTCATGGAGGCGATTTTGTAAATGGAGATGGCACCGGAGTGGCGAGCATCTACCGGGGTCCCTTCACAGATGAAAACTTCAAGCTGAAACACTATTTGCCTGCTGTCCATGGCAAATAGTGGCCTCCGCACTAATGGCTGCCAATTCTTCATCACCTGCTCCAAGTGTGGCTGGATGGCTGGGAAGCAAGTAGTCTTTGGTAAAATAGCTGATGGGTTACTTGTCATGAGAAAAATTGAAAATGCGTCCACTGGTCCAAATAACAAGCCCAGTGGTGATTGCCCGGTGAAGTGAGATGTAGAGGAAGGCAACTCTCAAGGTTCGTCTCTTTCCATCTTGGATCGCCATCACCTCCTGAGTGTTCCATGTTTTTCCTGTGGTGCCTCATCTACCCCATGTTCCAAACTAATAATCTCTTCCCATTGTAAGTAAAGGAATTTAGGTGGTTTTTTTTAAAAAGTCATAGTGTTGGCCACTAGTTTGGGTGGTTTTAAAAATAAATTACACAAAGTCAGAAACGCTCGGGCTGCTAGTCATGATGACTATATTGCCACCAGGATCAAATGCAGCCTGTGGTTCTGAATACCACTTGCTGGAGAACAACAGTAGAGAGGATTATTGCCATCCTGGATGTGGGTCTTTCTGAGGCAGCTGGGTGGCCAGTGAGAGAAAGGACGCTGAACCAGGCAGGCCTTTTGTCTGATCCCGTAGGGCTCTCCTTATGTTCTTAGAAATGTCCAGTAGGAAATTCTTAGCACTGTCAAACTGCATTTCCCAGGAATTTTAAGGAGAAGCTGCATTGGCTAAATGGGTACAATAAGTTCATTGTGTAAAGACTGTAGGCACTATATAGCTATTACGTATAGCTTCACTGCCTAAATCTAGAGCTATGGGCTAGTAATAATATTGTTTCCAATGCTGTAATAAATAATGCAGCAAAAGCAAAATCTAGTCAACTACAAAAGAAGCAAATGATTATTTATTGAAAACCATGCCTCTCCTTTTAGCTGCATTAATTCTTGGTTTGTGAATGATGCATCAGGGAAAACAGATGGGAGTTTGCAACTTTTTGCATGGTGGGGGAGACTCCTTTTAAAATATGAGGCAATTCCTGAACCTGGTGCTTAATCAATTCGTCTGTTTCCTGGCCATCTGCTGTGCCTGCATTTGTCTTGGAAATGGTAAATAACACCTGTAAATACAGTGTTGTTAGTGAAATATGCAGTGTCCCCTTGGGGCAGCTTCTAAATAACCAGAACTGGATCCTACCATTTTGAGAAGTGTGTATTTTCAGTCTGGCAGTTTCTGAATCAACTCTGTCATTTAATTAAATGGAATTGTAATGTTCTGAACCTTGCGTGGATTGCAGTATTCCTTATAAAATCTGAACTTCCATTTTCTATTAAGAAAAGATACCAGAGCCAGATAAGAGAATGCCTTGACCCCCTTCAGAACCATATAAATCTTTGTAGCATGAAATACAAACTTTGCAACTGATTCACTTGTGGAATGCCATTAAATCTTCCTTCCAAAATAGCTGAGGGGGAACATTAAAGTGAATGGAATGCACTATTTAATGCACTAATTTGAGGCATGATAGAAAGGGCTCCTCTTTATTGGCAATCTGCAATACCTCGTTGGTGAAAAGCCAGTTATTAAACCATCCCTCTCCACCAATGTACACCCGTTCCAGTCTCTATATACGGTAAGCAGGTGGGGTGTTTTCTGCTCCCAGTCATCAAGACGATTACACAAGAATCTACTAGCAATGAGTACACATTAAAGCAGCATCTTTAATTTTTAGCTAAGTTAAAAAAAACAACCTTGGAGAAAAGATTGTCACTTCACTTTGCATGACCATTGTGCTGTTCTTTGTTTTGTTGTTTTGCTTTTGCATTTTGTTAAAGTTTATCTTTGTCATCAGGAACATTGCCACAGGAAAGCAGAGGTGCAGATCAATTTGAGAATGTGAAAGGGAAAATGTGACTAGTGAAGGCATTTGTATATATTCCCATTGCAAAGATGCTAAGCCACATCAGACTTCCTCCTAATTCCATAATTCTGGAAAATATGTCACATATGGGATGTCAAAGGCATTCAAGTAAAATGTGGCCTAGACAATTTCTGTCATCTGGGATTCTTGAGTATGTGGCTCGGGATATCATCTGCAAAGCTGAAGCAACCAAATGAAACCAATTAAAATTAACAGGCTTACTGGCTTTGATTCTTCCATACAGCAAAGCAAGATACTTGAGCCTTGCAGATAAGAGCTGCAGTGAGTAATAATACAAGACTGACTTTCTGGAGTGTAGCATTCTGACTCCAAAAGTGGGGCAGTAGATGTTTCTGGAAAGACACCCCCCCCAGCATGTCATGAAGCTGATAACTGTCCCTTGTTGTTTGTGTATACCCTGCTGTATACTGTATTTGAACATGGAGATTCCATTGAGCTGCTATGGCCTATTGGTTGTCCTACCTTCTGTGGCCGTGATCCAGATAAAGTTAGTTATGACCACTGTCTCACTGGAACTGTTGGTTTGATCTATCAGGAATCTTTTTATGCCATAGCATTGGGCAAGTAATGTTTATGCTGTGAACTGCCCTGACTTCTACGGATGAAGGGTGGCATACAAATTGAACAGATATATAAATAACAATGGAAAAGTTATGTGGGAGATGACAAGAACAGGACATGGATGATGCCAGGGACACAATGTCAAGCTCTTCTACCTCTTCTCTTGGAGGAATGGCTAGTTCTGAGAGACTGATAAACCACAAACTTCCGTGATTGATTTGTTAGTCTCAAATGGGTGGTCCACATTTAGGAATACAAGTCTGCGAAGCTCAGTTATGTGAGTGGTGGTGGTGGTTCTCCAGGGTTACAGTTTTTCCTCATTCGTACCTGGAAATGCCAGGGATTGAACTATGTGCTCTGCCACTGAACCAGAGTCCTATCCCACAAGAAAAAGAGAGGAACACAAGATGCTACTTTATGCTGAGTCCATCCATCTAGTGATGTAATGTCTACATGGACTGGCAGTGGTTCTTCATGGTTTCAGATTAGTCTTCCCTGCATGGAGGTGCCGGCGACTAAACTTGGTTCCTCTTGTGTGCAAACCAGGTGTGCAAACCTAGGGAACACAGCCCTTCTGCAGCTTCAGTTAAGAAATCCTGCCTTAATGCCCGTCCTCCTGCTTTGTTCATGCTTTCCTTGTGTACAGTAAGCTTCCTCTGTCAACACTTAGGATAATGGCACCAATGGCAGTAACAAAAATCTCTTTGCGATATCCCAGAGCTAATGGAGAAGGTCCTGAGAAATGTCACCGTAAAGTACTTCAGGCACTTGTGATCCAAGAGTTCAGCCACCTGTCAACACTATCCCTGCCTCTTCCCATACAATGCCTTCACTTTCTTCCTCTTTTGAAATTCTTTTGAAACAAACTTTTCCAGCTCTGAATGAGCGCCTTTTGCCAATAGAGCAATGTAGGCATGCATTAGCACAGCCAATTATCATTAATCTCCGTAAGGGATTTGTAGGTTTATGTAAAGGGAGGGATAAAGTTTTAAAGTTTCGCTAACCAGCCATGAAATACTGGAGGTCTGACTTCATGCCAGTTGAAAATGAGGACTTAGCTGAACGGATCCAGATGCTGTCAGTTATATCATTGTGTTGTGTGATACATGAGACTTGTAAGCAAGTGGAGACGCAAACAACAGCTTCTGATTGAGAGCTGATATTTAGAAGCACTTATGATCTGAAAGCTGGATTGGCCTAAGACATTTTGCTACCTAAGGTGGAGCAGTGAATAGCGTCTCTCCCCAACCCACCAAGTCTCAGAGGGTTTAGTATCCCTGAACAGAATTGGCTTTAAAGGAATGTGTTACTTCTGATTAGTAGATAACAGAATCAAATAGGTTATGCTTCTTCTATCTACCTGCACTTCCCATATGGCAAGAGATGCGTGTAGGTCCCCAAAACACAAAGAACTACTGTGGGGCAAGGGATAAATATTTACTATGAGGTAAAGTATATGCTGTGTTCCACATTTTGTTGCTTTTGCCCATAAGGAATTCCTTTTGAAGCCTCGTCCTATCCTGATTGGGAAGCAGGGCAGTGATGAATGCTGGTGTTGCCACACACCTGCACCTGCCCCCTTAGGCAATCACTTCGCTTTACCTAACAGTAGGGTTGGTCCACTTTGAAAACTTATGGATCAAGAATGGTACTTTGAAAAGTTGTGGGAAGAAATATGTTTACATAAGATCTGAACAGTTGAACATTTAAAAAGGAGAAGCCTCAGACTGCTACAGTTCCACTGCTAAAACTAAGTTGCTAACTAAGAAATTCTCCACCCAATGTGGGGAAAATGCCTCCCTGAGAATGGGGCTGCAGGTCTTGTATTTAATGTGTAACTAAGTGCTCTGTCTGATCAGAATTATCCAGTGAAGGCAACCAAAAGTTCAAACTGAAATCCAAGTCTAAAGCAATTTTTAGCAGTCCCAAAGTGCTTTCACTTTTCCACACTGAGGCATGTTGAGCAGTGATAATGTTGTGGGCGCAGCCAGCTTTTGCACTCCAGCAGAGGCGTAGTGTCTGTGGTCGCTGCTTGGGGCTGGGGGCGCTGCTGGGTGGTGCACGGGAGCTCACCACTTCTGTGCTGTGGCCGACTTGAAGCATTGGGGTTCCACGAGAGGAAACTGCCTCCGCAGGATTGAGGTTGAATCCTGACAAGAACAGAAGTACTGTTCTTGAGGGACAGGGGGTAGGCAGGTATGGAGGACTCCCTGGTCCTGAATGGGGTAAGTGTGCCCCTGAAGGACCAGGTGCGCAGCCTGGGAGTCATTTTGGATTCCCAGCTGTCCATGGAGGTGCAGGTCAATTCTGTGTCCAGGGCAGCTGTCTACCAGCTCCATCTGGTACGCAGGCTGAGACCCTCCCTGCCCGCAGACTGTCTTGCCAGAATGGTGCATGCACTGGTTATCTCCCGCTTGGACTACTGCAACACACTCTACGTGGGGCTACCTTTGAAGGTAACTCGGAAACTACAACTAATCCAGAATGCGGCAGCTAAGCTGGTGACTGGGAGTGGCCGCCAAGACAATGTAACACCAATCCTGAAAGACCTACATTGGGTTCCAGTACGTTTCCGAACATCGGCCCAGTATACCTGAAGGAGCGTCTCCATCCTCATTGTTCAGCCCCGACACTGAGGTCCAGGTCCGAGGACCTTCTGGTGATTCCCTCCCTGCGAGAAGTGATGTTACAGGGAACCAGGCAGACGGCCTTCTTGGTAGTGGCTCCACTACCCTGTGGAACACCCTCCCATCAGATGTCAAGGAAATAAATCACTGTCTGACTTTTAGAAGACATCTGAAGGCAGCCCTGTTTAGGGAAGTTTTTAATGTTTGATGTTTTATTCTGTTTTTAATTTGTTGGGAGCTGCCCAGCGTGGCTGGGGAAACCCAGCTAGATGGAAGGGTATAAATAATAAATTGTTGTTGTTGCTGTTATAATCATCATTATCCCAGCGTCAGAGAGGGGCAGCAACGCTGCCGCGGCTTCTCCGCTGCTTCCGCTCCTGGGATTGGAACTGCGGCCAGCTGGCGGATGTGCATTCCCCTTCCCTCTCGGCTGCTGGTAGGTGAGCAGGGCTCCAGTGCCACCCCCCAGGGTGTTCTGCCCCTACCCCCAGTATGCTAGTGAACTGTAGCAAGCCCATTAGTGAGGGTTACAAGCTGTTCCTGTTTTACATGAGAAAAAATTATTGCTTTGTTATGTACTGTGTTGAATAGGATCCAAAAGGCAGCAGTCTGATTGGTCCTAGAACAATAGGATTCAGAATGCAGCAGTCTGATTGGTCCTAGAACAATCGGATTCAGAATGCAGCAGTCTGATTGGTCCTAGAACAATCGGATTCAGAATGCAGCAGTCTGATTGGTCCTAGAACAATAGGATTCAGAATGCAGCAGTCTGATTGGTCCACAGGAGCCACCCAATCCAGCTCCAGGTGGAAGGGAATCCGCAACCTGGTTGGCCTACAGGAGACTCCCGGAATTAGCCAATCACGTGGGGCCCATTGTGTAAATAATGTATGTAAGGCAGACATTTGGTGGGAACTTCCATTCCTCCTCACCACTATGAGCTGAATAAAGAGCATGAAATCCACTCTCAACTCAGAGTATATTTGATTCGTCAGTCCTGTTTAAATTCTCCACTGCTTTGTGCAGCCATTGCATCTGTGTGTATAAACTGAAATATCAGCAGTCGTGCTCTGAGTGTATTGTTCATCTTGAAATAAGTTTCATCCATAAAATCAGGACTTTGGCATGACCACCTTTACAGATGTATGCATAATTGCAAGCAGTATTTAAATCGTTAGCAATTCACATGCATCATTGCAATGAACCTACGGTAGATCAATATTTTTATAATATCACATATTTGTAATATCCTTACTGGTTTCTCTTCTCTTCTTCACTTTAAATGTTATTTTAAAAAATGTTATTTGTTATTTCAAGTATTTATTTATCTATCTACCTTTTTAATTAAATTTATATACTGTTTGATTGTTTAAAAATCTCAAACAATAGATTACATATTTGACAATAATAATCATAGAATCGTAGAATTGGCAGGGTCATTGTGTTACCTCCAATCTTCAGGGACCTCCTCTGTTCTCTAAGAATTCTAAAAGATTATAGACAGAGGCTCTGAGATTACATCTGCAAGTTGGATGCAGTTCTTCAGGCCCCATTCATTTAAAGTAGTTCCCTTGCTCCCTCTTTTCCTATGTTGGGTTGCAGCTCCCTCCTTTTATTCTGTTACCACCAGATTGGGCACTGTTTTCCTTTTGAGTGAAGCAGGTGTTGAGAAGTTCCACCCAATAGCATTTATCAGTTTTCTCCACACAGAGATACTGCTTCCTCCTTCTTCCTCTTGCTTCAAAGATAGCCAATTTTTATTATTGTTATATTTACTCTTTCTTGCAAGCCTCAGCTCTGCAAGTATTGGCTACTTGTTTATACTCTTCTTTCATGATTTGCCCCTTCTTCCATTTCTGCTTTTAAATCTCAACCCATCTGTAAGCTTCTTAGGCAGCCAAACCAGTTTCTTTAGATGCCTCTCACTTTATACTCAGTAAAAATAACCTGCAAAGGCTTGAATCTTTGCTTGTCCTATATTAGGGTTTCAACTATGTCTTACTCCAAAACACAGAAATTTTACCATCACATCCTTTACTCTGTTGATTCTGTAATTAGTTGGCTGGTGCTAGTGGGAGTTAGAACCTCTGGAGGGCCACTGATTCCCCAGCTATGTTCTGTATGATCCTTCTCAGACCTTTCTCTATATGAATGCCAATTAGTACACTTTATTTTTACTTTTTCCTGTTGCCCACCTGTGCCCCTTTTCCCTTCTGGATCTCTATCGCTGGGATGGTCTTCTGCTGGGCACCCAACCATCTCTTCCTCTGTTTTCGCATTCAGGCGCCTCCTCAAGATTTTGATTCTGCTTTAATCAGAACCACACAGGTCACAGTTCAACCAAAGTCAGTTACACTTATGTTTCATTAATTTAAACAAGAGCTTGAGGCACATGCTTGAATCTTTCCCACTGGAATCAATGGGGCTTGAAAGTGCTTAACTTGTGCTGGATTGTACCAGCTTTGTATCCAATCTAAATCCTTCTAAATAACCCCCATACTTCATGCATTTCATAAGTTGAAGGAAACATAATATTTTAAATATCTCCATCATTTATGTAACCACAATGAGTTAATGTAGCTGCAGAAAACAAGCTTGCTCCATCTTCCATGTGACAGCTTATCAGATATTTAAAGATGACTATTCTAACACCTCTCAGTTTTCTCTTCTCCAGGTTAAATAGACTCAATTCCCTTAATTTAGGATGGGCTGCAGTGCTCCAACCTGCCAGTTGAAGGCCAATGATGTATGGGACAGAGCCAAAGATTGATGGCACCAGAGTCTAAAGCTCCTAATTCTAAATACCCCCCCCCCACTTTCCACCATATGTGGTCAGAGAGCCGCCGGCTTCCCATCCCTGCCTTAGAGGCATCTCAAAATGGATGCCATAGAGAGAGCAGAAAGGGACTGGGAGATTCTACATGTGTGAGGCTGTTGGCTAAACAGTTGTTGGAAACATAAAATAAGAGACGGGTCTTGTTTCAAGGATAAGATCAAGGCAAATGGAGGAAAACAATCTATTTTCCTGAAGCACATCAACATGTGAATGACGTATCCATTAATTTTGTGCTGTGAGGGGATTTGTCGGGACACAGTGAGGTGAGAGGAGGAGGAGAGAGTCAGTCCCTATTTCTTTGAAGTAATTTAACTCTGCCTCTATTCTGCTGCCAAGATTTACTGGCACACCTCTTCATACTATCGAATCACTTTATAAAAATAGAAACAATAGACTGGTTTTTAAGCCTTAACAACCTGTTCCATTGAGCTCTTGGAACCAGCTTTTTCAGAGCCTCATACTTAAGAACCCAACAAAAATCTGTAATGCAGATCTTCTGCCCTTTGCTGCCCCTGGGCATTAGAAGCCAAGTTCTCTGCTTTAAAAGCCTAGTAGAGGCAAAAGCCTCTTGAGGCCAAGTCACTGCCTGACAGACAGTCGCATTTCACAAAACAACTAGGCAATTATTGCAAGTGAGTGAATGTCTTACAGAAGAAACATTGACGGCGGACAAACAGTGAGAAGTTTGATGATGAAGGATTAAGGGTGCAGGTCATGAGGGCTGAGTCAAAACAGGGAGGGCTCATGCCGTGAAGACTTTCTCTCTCCCATCCCCCGATGAAGCGTGGCCTCCCTTTCAAGTGATGCTCTGAAGGGACTCCTTTCTGATGGTTTGTGTGAGTGTGGGTTTTTGTGGCTGTGGAGAGGTGATGGCCCCACCCAATATGTTCAAGAAACGTCTTCACTTTCCGTATCTGAAATTGGAGCAGAGGCTTTCATTTACCATACTTATTTATTTGCTGGTATAAAGATAACATTTATATCCTGCCTACCTGCCTGATAACAGGCCTTCAAGGTGGCTGACAATATGTGAAAATGGATATGCAGCCACAGATAGCCTTATCAGCCATGGGTTTGTTTAATCCCCTTTTAAAGCCATCCAAGTTGGTTGCCATTATTACACCTCATGGAGGTGAATTTCATAGTTTAGCTCTGTGCTGTGTGTACCTTCTTTGGTCTGTCCTTAATTTTCACTGAATGGCCCCAGAATCTGGTAAGGAAGAGGCCACAGGTAAGAGGCAGAGCACATTGAAATTGAAATTGAAATACTTTATTGCCACTTGTACAACTTGTATACAGTGAGATTACACGAGCACCCCCAACTCAGCTCTCTTAACCTTAATTCCCCTCGTTTACTGATGCACGCCCATCAAACCCAAACGTCAGTTGCCCTGTTGTTATCTTTTCATTCAGCAGCCTAACAGCCCACGGATAGAAGCTGTTTTTTACCCTGTTGGTGCGACTAATCATGCTTCTGTATCTTCTGCCTGAGGGCAGGAGATCAAGAAAGTGCCGGCCAGGGTGTGAATCATCCCTGAGAATTTTCCTCACTCTCCTGAGGCAACATTCTTCCGCGATGTCAACCAGCGGGTTCACAGGACAGCCCATAATATATTGTGCTGCATTCACCACCCTCTGTAGGCACCACAC